GGCCGCTTGCAGCACGACAGGGGGTAGTGCAGCCTGAAGTGCGCAACCCACTAGACACAGGAACGACATCCGCTGAAGCGCCATCTGCCAACACAAAATCTTCCAAGAGTGCGCTGAACTCGTTGTTCACTGAAGACACTGGCAGGAGCAGAACGATGTTGTCGCTCGGCTCCGAAGCGAAAAGCTGGTATGCGTTGCATTTGCTGCCTTTTTATGCTCACGCTGTGAGGAGTGGCAGCTGGATGCAATCATCGCATGCCAATATGCATTGGCTCGTTTAGTTTACACTCGAAGTAGATTGGTCTCTCGAAGCGAGATCCCAATTCGTCGGCCACTGGCGTGACTCGGTGTGACCGACTGGAAAGGGAACCACAGTTAACTGTCTGGTTTCAAAAAATTTCACTCAGGATAAAAAATTTGCTTTTAAACTAAATAAAAATTTGACATTTATCATGATAATTATTGATATGTACTACATTTATCAATATTGACTTTATGAAAAAAAAGTTTTTTTTTTTTTTTTTGCTATATCGCCCAGCCCTAAGTACTATTATTGTCATATCCATGTACACGGGTATGTACAGATTTTATTAGCAACACTCAAATGATACGATTGGTATTTTAATAGCATGTTACATGTTTACAATATATATATATATATATGCTAAAATGAAAATAAAAGAAAAAAAGGGGAAAAAACCTCGACAAGACAAATGATAAAACATCTTCAGCTTTTTGAAATAATGATTTGAATTTATAATCAATGTAGTAAGTAGTTATTTAAAAAAGTAAGTAGTAAGTAAAACATATTTTAAAAATATAAAAAATGAAACGAACCTTTGCACTTTGGAACAGCATCACTCCATTTTCCCGTCTCTTCGCAGCGAATGTCACTATTTCCGTCTATCATTTTGTCAGAAGATACACACTCAAAGTGAATAGCATCACCATAACGTCCCTCCTCTGTGTTACCCGATGCAGTCACCTCCCAATCTGTGCGAATGGCTGGACATTTCACCACTGAATATGAAAATAAATAACAAATAAAGAAACCAACAAAACAATCACTCAGTAATACATCTATAAATCTTTTTAGTTATAATTCTCTTCTAGCTTATGAGTCACTATTCTATGATGGTGATATTAAATCGTACCCTCACAGACAGGGACGGCGTTGTCCCATCCTTGAGCTCTGCAGGTACGGTAATTGATTCTGCTTGCCATTTCATACCTGTGAACACAATGTTTTTACAAGTACAAGAGTGTCAAACTCAAAGAGGAAAGTATACATTTCATATCATAAAAAAAGCATAAGCATATTTACCCTTTCTTGCAATTATACACAACTGTTGTTCCAAAAAGATACTCTGTCCCCTTTATAAGTTTAAAATCACCATTTGGTGTGTCGCCTGGATGACTACATCTTCTCTCTGCAGAAATCAAACAAATTTAACTTAACATGGTAACACTGATTTGTTAATGAAAAAATGATATTGTCATCATATTGACAATTCTCTTACTTGCACATGGTCGCTCAATGGATTTTTTCCATTCTCCTTTTTCACAGTTTAATCTATACAAGCCAGTATAACCTGTTATGCAGTTCACTTTCACTATTTCACCATGAGCGTATGAAGCTTTCTCAACTGGTTCTGTGTTTTCATGTTTAATGTCCTCTCGAAGACATTCTGAGAAGAACAAACAAATGTTACGCAAAGATGTAAGTGTTTTATGTATATTAAATTCTGAAGTACATGCACAACTAGTCAAAACGCTCTAAAGCTACATAAATGTACAGTTAAATGTTTTAGGAACTGCATATAATATAATATTTATATTGAAGTCAGTCAAATCTAAATGAAAAAGACATTCAAATAAATAGAAACAACAACAAAATCACTTGCCTTGACATCGGGCACAATTTAAGAAAAACAACCAAAAGCCGAAGCCGAGGAGTTTTACAGGAACTCTCATTTCGAGCTCAGTTCACAAATACTTTTTTGGTCTGTCTCTGAAACTCTTGCCTGCTTGGGGATCAACAAGTTAATCATTTACCCATGTCAAAAGGACGTATTTCTTATGCCAGACCTCTCTGAGTACAAGGAATATTTCCTAAAAAAAAAAAAAAATATATATATATATATACAGTATAT